ACAAATTAATAATCAATGTGACTAGATCCATACAGGAAATGCCGTAAGTGTTTACAGTAATACTTTCCATAGTACAGAATCCCCATATTTCTCTAATGCATTGTAAAGAGTGAGAAAAAAATATTATGACAAATGATAAGAAAGGCACGAGGGCTTGGAATCTCACCTTGACGAAGGCAGGAAGTCCGTGCATGCAGTTAGAGCCACCTGGTATATAACTGGAGCGTCGTGCTACACTTCCATTAAGTTGGTTCTCTTCAACATGTTCTCAGTAAGTTCACAGACAATGCGTCTATTTGGACAGTCTGTCGATCTGACTTAAATCTATTGATAAATAGATTAGCTGATAAAAAATTCTTTATATGGTTTCTCTTCTAAATGACAACGATAATTCCGCAGATTTTACTTTGTGCTTTGGTGGCGACGGCTGCTGCAGCCCCAGACCACTACGGGCCACCTCCCACCGGATTCTATGGCATTCCTGGTCCAGTCATTCCCATCCTGAAGGACGAGCGTGAAGGACCTGATGCATCTGGAGTATACAGCTTTGAGTTCGAGACTGGCAATGGCATCAAGCGTGAGGAACAAGGTGCCCCTCAAGGACCATCTGGCGCAGTGGCAATGCAAGGAGGGTGGTCGTGAGTACTAAGCATTTTTTTAGATGCTTTTGTGAATTTTATAGCTCACATACATAACTGTGCATCCAATCGTAACTGACTAAGATTGACTTTGTGAATTAACATTCCTCTTTTCTGTTCAGTTTCACTTTCCCCGACGGCTCTCCCGCCGACGTGTCTTTCGTTGCCGACGACGCTGGTTATCGCGTCGAGTCCAGCCTTCTGCCCACGCCCCACCCCCTTCCCGCCCACGCCATCGCCCAGATCGAGAAGGCTCGTCGGGAGGACGCAGCTGCTGCCGCCTTGAGCGGGCGTTACTCTGCCCCGCGGACTAGCTATGGATACCCATGATGTGCTCTGATAATGTGCATCGAAGTTTAACCTATTGTATATAAAAACTCAGAATATAAAGACTCATGAATAGTAATTCTTTCATTACCTATCTTAATCTCAGGCGAGCTGTAGGCACCTAGAACATTTGGTCCTTGCGGCAAGATGAGTGGTTGGGAGTTGAGGTGGCTGCCCTCTCGGAGGTGAGATCAGCGTGGGTGGGTACACCTACTACCGGTCGGGCCGCTGCTAATGGTCATCACCTTAACTACCCTCGGTAGTTAAGGTAACACCGGTTGATAAGCGTACTATAGCACAGAGACTGAAGCATGCTTTTGGTTTCATATCTCTTATTGCTGTGTACACTCCTACGCCGAACTCATATCCGTGGCAGACAATTGCCCCCGGCGAGACATTCGCATTGTTCTGGGTGACTTTGGTGCTGTATCTGGCTGTGGTCAAGCTGGCTACGAGAATCTGTCGGCCCCCATGGCTCGGGAGATGATCCGAGCAATGAGAACAGCCTCCTTCTCCGGGACTTTGCTAATTCTCAAGGAGGTCGACTACATTCTTGTCAGTACTCGATGGAGGGTTTACCAGAGTACTGAGTTCTGTGGTACTGACCTTAGGCTGGTAGTGGCTTCCCTATGGGTCCACTTCAAACATCCTCGTCCCTCCGATGGCCGCTCTAATGTGTTTCACTTGGACAGACTGAGGGAGGGGGATTGTGCCAGTGGGTTCACCACGGCATTCTCTAATCGAATCACAGAAATTGAAAACCTGATCGACCCAATTGCTCTTTGGGAGTCCTTCAGGTGCGAAACATTTGAAGGAGTGTAAATGTCCATTGACGTATGCCTGAGGGCAAGGCAGAATTTCATCTCCCTGGAGACATTGGAGGCCACTGAAGCGTGTCCCATGGCTTGGCTGAATGGCAATCAGGACTTTTGTCTCTCATTGGTGTGTAGGGTTCAGACACTGTTGAGAAGGGACAAGGAAAAGTTCATCAGAAATCTTGCCGAGGAGGTTGAAGGCCATTTCTTGATAAATGACCTTCACCCTACCTACCAAGCCCTGAGAAAGCTGAACTTTAAGCCCTCCTCGCAGATGACTGCAGTCTGCTCAGATCTGACAGATCATCTCAGATCTTGTTAAGGTTTGTGAATGCTGGGCCGAGTATTCTGAGCAGCTGTACCAGGTGCACCCTCCAACAGTTAGCTTAGATGCAAGTGGTACCACAATACCTGTGTTGGACCCACCCATCAGCGAGGAACCTCCTATCCTAACTGAGATTAGGATGACAATTTCCAAGATGAATTAGGGGAAAGCTGCAGGTATATGTGACATGCCTGCTGAACTGCTAAAGGCTGGGGGTGAACCTATGGCACAGGGCTTGAATAAGTCTTGACTGCTATCAGGCATCCTGGTTCCATTCCCCCTAATCTGTTGAGGGACGTGGTCAAGGGGAATGGGGATCATTGGGACTGTAGCAACTACCGTGGCGTTACACTGCTCAGTATACCAGACAAGGTTTTCGCACACATTCTTCTGAA